CTCTGGTATTCGTACTTTTACAACATTATTGGCGGAAAAGGATCTCAGGAGTACATTTAGACAGTGACAGTGAGCCCATGGTGAGCTCGCATGTCTCGCGTTGTGTCGAATTGAATTCGAGCACGCCTCTGTTTAAAATGGCCGTGAGTCCCATTCGTGGTACTCGAGTGGTTTGGATTTCGGTTTCAGTCCCTTTCGGCCAACAGACACACACACACACATACACACACACACCACCACAGGGGTATGACTTTCAAAGCTGAAAGCCTGTCGACGGGGGGGCCTTATAGGGGCTCCGCTGGAGGGTTCCCGCCGCCTTCATCGGCCTTCACGAGTCTGTGTCACTTTCGGTTTAGAATACGGTGTGTCCATTGAAATCGATATTTCTTTCCCCGGCGAAACGCCGTTCTCGCGCGGTGGGTTCGTCATAATAATCATAAAACGATCTAGCGCCGTAAAACCGCGACTCCAACCGACCCGCCTCTCTTTCTATTATCCCGCGATATAAAGTTACTCTATGGCGAAAAGAGGAACGGGTTTCTACCTCGCCGTATCGCTCTCCTATAACTGTATCCGATTGACGTTATGCTGGCGCGACGGTGATGATAATTACTCTCGGGCTCATGAATATTAAATGACGGCGAAAACCAAGCATCCCGCATAGAAGCTTTTCCGGGATTTTCCCGGCAGTCACAATTCCCGAATTTCACCCGCAATTAGTCGTCCAATGAGCAATCTCATTCTCTCTCTCTCTCTCTCTCTCTCTCCCTCTCTCTCTCTCTGTTTAGAATCGACAACGGAAGTACTGGTGGAAACTCGTGCTTTTTTTTCTCGGGTGATAACTCGGGTCGATGTACTTTTATGGTGTCAAATATGTTTATAGCATGTTATTGTATAAAATAGAATAAAGACCACAAGAATTAAATTCTAACGTAAAATAAACAAGAAAAAATAACTCTGGAAACTCTGGACCTCTCTCAGTTAGAATGAGTCACACATATATTTGAAACGTTACTAATTTTCAATTAACTCCCAATTAAATCTCCCTAAAAAATTTTCCACGGGAGATATCGCCCGTAATACGGAAACGTAATACGGAGAAGATTCGCGATCGAATGCCGCAACCTTCGTTTCGCGAGGCGATGCGAGCTGATTGTGCCCGATGTATTCGGAATTACATGTCCCGTATAGCTCTCTCTCTCTCTCTCTCTCTCTCTCTCTCTCTCTCTCTCTCTCTCTCTCTCTCTACCTATCTACCTAGCTTTATCTTCCTCTCTCCCTTACTCTCTCGTGGGCGCAATCTCGATGCACGGAACGCAAATTCGTTTTCAGTCGCTAATGAACACGACCGTTAATTAGAAACGAACACTTTGTAGTAGACTGCGCCTCTGGATGCGCGAGGACGGCGTTACTATCTAACAGAATTTGTCCGCACACACGGTTCCTCTCGTTAGAGGAATTTATTAGAGAGAGGCGCACAGCGGGCGCGCGCATGTAGATGCGCAAAGTGGGCACAGAGAATTATGGACGCCAAATATTCATGTCGGCGACCGAACGGACAAATACATCTCAAAATTCTACGAGCGTAATGATGAGATCCGCTACTGAAGTGACCGAAGCGACCTTGTTCTCTCTCCTTTTTACCCTGTTTTTCCTCTCTCTTCCTCTCTTTCTCCTCGCTCTTTTTTCCACTATCTCTTTTCGTCTTGCCGAGCGCAACAATCGCGTGTTCGCTTGCTCTCTCCTCTCCTCGCCGTCGATTAAGACGACAGAAAACTCGAGGAACTCAAAGGGTTTTCAAACGCGTCGAGGAGTTGCCACGCGAGATGGAAGCAACGTCGGCAGAAGAAGCGGATTTCGATCGCCAAACCTTCGCTTGTATCTTCCCCATCTCGTTACTGATCGTCGGAGCTCAGAGGAAAGTTGACAAAGTGGCCGAACGGCCGAGAATAATCCAGCTTTTTACCGAGCGCAGCCTCGCGACTGTACACACGACTTTTCCGGCGGAAACATCGGCGACGTCGGCGGAGGGCAGCGGGGGACTGAGGAGGCTGAGGAAAGGAGCCAAATGGAGGAGGAGAAAGAGAGAGAAAGAGGAGCACGAGCCTCTTCACGCCCTCGTAAAGAAGGAGCTATCACGTGGAAACCGATCGTTTCTTGTATGCCAGGCAGGTACAATGGGCAGCGGACTATTCGAGGCGACACGGTCCATGGCCCGGGCCACTCGAAATCCATTTAAATCGCCATCCGATTTCTGCTTTCGCACGCCACATTGTCGCGCCACCGTCTCGCTCTCGCCGTCGTCGCCCGTCCGTTTTCGGCGAGCGGCATTGTGCGTGCTGCGGCATGCGGCATGCGGCATGCGGCTGGGAAAAGGGATTCGTCTCACGATCACTCGGGGGATCGTTTATTAACCGCGCACACCGTGACCACGAAGAGAGTCTCGCGATGACCGATGAGTAGCCGAGCGAGAGTGAAAAAGAGAGAGAGAGAGAGAGAGAGAGAGGAGAGCCATCGAACGAACCGTGACAATGGCGCACGCTCAATGTCCAGTGGCTCACGTTCTGCCCACGCGTGCGCCGCTGCCTCTCTCTCTCTCTCTCTCTCTCTCTCTCTCTCTCTCTCTCTCTCTCTCTCTCTCTCTCTCTCTCTCTGTCTACCTGTCTGTCTGTCCGTCTGTCCGTCTGTCTCGCGTGCGATGCTCCCTGCCGCGGGAATAACTCGAAATCAGCTGCATTTTCGGGGCGATTTTCAAACGTCACGCCTACGTTCCCGCTCGCTTACGTCGCCACCTTGTCGTCGGCGACGCATCCCGGGGCTTCTTCGAGCGAGTTGCACTCGAGGAGTAGCATGAGCCGAATTACTCGAATTCGAGTGACTTCCCGGGCACACCGAGCGAATTTCCCGGTCTGAGGCGGCGGGTGAATGTCTTCATTCGAAAGCGAAGGGTGAAGCGGTGACGTGCGCTGCATCGGTCTCGCAGCAGAGACTTCACCGTGCGACTCGAGGTAAGCGTTCATTCTCGCGATTCCAAGTGGTGGATGAGTTTTCACTCACTTAACCAGGGAGATTTTACTCAGCGAGACATTTTGGCTGCACTTGGAAGCGCACGTGGAAAGATTCGCTCGGACGGAGTTAAGGGATCGTTGATAAGCGTTGAAAAATCAATCTAAATATTTCTGTACTGAGAGAGCAAAGATGCTGAAAAATAAAGAATCATTAATTCGGCAGATAATAATACAATTACGTGAATTTATATTATCTGATTTGGAAATGAAACGAGATGGCTTTTTCACAGAGGAAACTACAAAATGTAGTTTCCTCGTTAAAAAAAAATCTTTGTCCCAACGTAAAATATGTACATTAGTGTGAGTAAATGTGTGTGATTACAGTACACACATTCGCCGAAATAAATACGTCTCATTTCTCAGATGTTTTTTCTTTCTCAGATGTTTTTCTCTTTCAATGTAGATTAACGACTCGTTTGAGAAAAAAAATATAAGTATAAAAATATTAGTATAAGTAAATACGTCATTATAGTATCCGCCGAAGAAATATTCTTTTGTTTCCTAGACGTTTCCCTCTCGGTGCAGATTAATGACTCTCCCAATTTTAAAAACACACGCGTCAACATCCGCGCGCAGCGGCTCTCCTCGGCCCTTCATTTTTATCGGTTGAATACTCGAGAGCCTCAGAAATCATAACTATTTTTAGATCAATGAGTTCAAGGGAATCGATTCGCCATTGGGAGTTCGCACACGATCCCATGAAACATATTCCGCCTGTTCACGCCGTCGAATCTTACTATTCCTCCGCAATAGTAGATGTTGGATAATGAAATTAAAATCACTCTTCGAATTGTTAAACTCGTACACACAGACACACACACACACACACACCACACACTCGGCGAGTAAAATTGTCTTAACACAGCCGTGGCTGGCACGCGATCGAAACGCCACGTGTTTTCGCGTCACGCTCGGATTATCACGTTATCACGTTAACCACGGACTCGCTGTCAAAAGTACAAACAATGTCGACGATTTATCGGCGCCCGGATCGAGCCACATGTCGTATAGAATGCGGCGCATATATTCCACCGGAATGCCAAGTGGAGGTGACGCTTCCATTCTCGAAACGCTCGAAAATTGCGCCTCACCGCATCAAGAAGCAAAGCTCGCGCGATCCTACTCGCGCCCCCCTCCCCCCCCCCGCCACTCCTCGCGATAGAAAAATGCAGTGTCGGAGCAAAGCGTCGCGGTCATTGTTCGCGGGCATAACGGGAACGCTGAATTATATCGCGTGTAACTCTCGCGCAACGCCCGCAACGGCCGATAAATTCACGCTAAGCGAGGCGTGTCTCGCGCGATTCGCGTCTCTTGCGCTTCGTTTCTTATTCATCGCCCGCTCGCTCGTCGACGCTCGCCGAGCCCGTGGACGAAGAAGACGAAGAGGAGGAGCAGAAGTGAAAAGAGAGAGAGAGAGAGAGAGAGAGAGAGAGAGAGAAAAAGAGACTTGAAAAAAAAGAAAAAGACAGAACGAAGTCCATATAACTCCGGATCAGGCTGATGCGGCATTTTGCGCGCTTTACGCCGACAATTTACTGGACCACACGCGAGCGAGAGCGAGTCGCAGGGACGCTCGCCTTTTCGCGCAACAACTCACGCACCCCTCCCGGCGTGTGGGACGTAGACTGTCTCGGCGATGTGATCTTACGCGAATTTACAGTTTCGCCCGTGCGTAGGCACACGCACACGCACACGCACACGCACACACAGACACGTGCGCGCACGCCTACCCGTGGCCGGATGCGTAATTCAACCATGCGTGCGCGAGTTCCCGCGACGGCCACGCGACGTGGGAAGCCCTCCTCGAGATCCCCGAGTTTTCACCAGCCGGTACCAAGGAGGGAAAACAAAGAGACCAGCAGCACCATCCCCTGCGTGTACGCGTGTCCGCGCCGCGGAAGTGGATGGCTCTTTGCAGGCGCGCGTACGTAC